TACCAAACGGGCTTCGCGCGCGCGCATGTCGAAATCTGTCGAACGCCCTTGCGCGTGTGCCGTCGCGAGAATCCTCTGCAAAAAATAGGACGAAGTGCAGACGCGCGCGTCGTCGCGGGCGTATGCCGAAATCCTTCAAAAACCATCGGTTTCAGAAGGATTTCAAAATCGTGCGTCCAAAAAACCTACAAGAACTCAAGGTTTCGCAACACGGATTTTCAACAAAAGCGTGCGCGCGCGCTCTTGCGTCGTCGTCGTCGTCGTCGTCCTCCCTCCTCCTTCGTCGTCGTCGTCGTCGTCGTCGCCGTCGTCGTCTTCTGTCTTTCCTCGTCGTCGTTGTCGTCGTCTTGGCGTCGTCGTCGTTTCCGTCGTCGTTGTCGCCGTGGTCGTCCTTCCTCGTTGTCTTCGTCGGCGTCTCGTCGTTGTCCCTCCTATTTCGTCGCCGTCGTCGTCGTCGTCGTCGTCGTCGTCGTCGTGGTCTTCACTCCTCCCTCGTCGTTATCCTCCTCCCTCGTCGTCGTCGTCCGTCGTCGGCGTCTCGTCGTCGTCCTTTCATTTCGTCGCCGTCGTCGTCGTCTTCGTCGTCGTTGTCATCGTCGTCGTCTTCCCTCCTCCCTCGTCGTTGTCGTCGTCGGCGTCGCCGTCCTTCCTCCTTCTTCGTCGTTGGCGTCGTCGCCGTCTTCCCTCCTCCATCGTCGTTGTCGTCGTTGTCGCCGTCGTCGTTTTTTCTCCTCCCTCGTCGTCGTCTCCGTTGGCGACGTCGTCGTCGTCTTCGTCGTCGTCGTCGGCGTCGTTGTCGTCGTCGTCGGTGTCGTCGTCGTCGTTGTCGCCGTCGAAAACATTGGAGACGTCGTCGGTGTCGTCGCAGTCGCCGGCATCGGTGTCGTGGCCAAGTGCCATGTGGTACCTACCGTCACGGTCTTGTCTGAAGAGGTCTTGCGACCAAGTTGCGGGTGGGAGGGTGGGATGTTTGCACGAGCAGTGGAGAGGACAGCTTCAAGACGGTCAAGATTAATTGCACCGCGTAGATTGCACCAAATATATTGCACCACGTACATCGCACCACATACATTGAACAACATTTGTCGCGCAATGCATGTTGCATAACATGTGTTGTCCCGCGTATATTGCACAGCATGCATTGCGCACCACATAGACTGCACCGCGTAGATAGCACCACGTATATTGCACCACGTACATCGCATCACACACATTGAACAACACAGCTCGACCAATGTATATTGCACACCATGCGTTGCTCCGCGTATATTTATATTGCGCAACATACATAGGTCTTTTTCCCCACATCCTGAGTGGGGTTCTTGTTTTCCCAGAACACCCTCTCCTTCCCACCCACCTCCCGCTCCATCTTCCATACAGCACAATATTATTCCTACCACACACACCATACCATACCATAGTTCCTACCACACATACCATACCATACATACCATACCATACCATACCACACCATACGTACCATACCGTACCATACCATACCATGGCGTACCATAGCATACCATACCATATCACACCAATGCCACACCGTACCATACCATACCATACCTCCAGTACCATACCTACATACCATATCATACAATACCGTACCATACCATACCATACCTTAACTCATACCGCAACCATACTATTAACGGCCCTCCACCCCTCCAGGGACTGAGCGATCCGCAAACCATACTATTTACATGGTTTCGTGCCCCTCCCACCCCTCAGGGAGGCCCCGCCTGAGCGAGGAGGGTATCGGAAACCATACTATTTACATGGTTTCGTGCCCCTCCCACCCCTCCAGGGAGGCCCCGCCTGAGCGAGGAGGGTATGGAAACCATACTATTTACATGGTTTCGTGCCCCTCCCACCCCTCCAGGGAGGCCCCGCCTGAGCGAGGAGGGTTCGAATACCATACTATTTAAATGGTTTCGTGCCCCTCCCACCCAGCGAGGAGGGTATCGGAAAACCATACTATTTACTTGGTTTCGTGCCCCTCCCACCCCTCCAGGGAGGCCCCGCCTGAGCGAAGAGGGTATCGGAAAACCATACTATTTACATGGTTTCGTGCCCCTCCCACACCTCCAGGGAGGCCCCGCCTGAGCGAGGAGGGTATCCGAAAACCATACTATTTACATGGTTTCGTGCCCCTCCCAACACTCCAGGGAGGCCCCGCCTGAGCGAGGAGGGTATCGGAAAACCATACTATTTACATGGTTTCGTGCCCCTCCCACCCCTCCAGGGAGGCCCCGCCTGAGCGAGGAGGGTATCCGAAAACCATACTATTTACATGGTTTTCGTGTCCCCCCTCCACTCCTCCAGAGAGGCCGCGCTGAGCGAGGAGGTCATCGGACAACCATACTATTTTACATGGTTTCGTGCCCCTCCTACCCGCCGAGGGTAGGCCCCGCCGGAGCGGAGGAGGGTGTCCGAACACCATACTATTTAATGGTTTCGGTAGCCCCTCCCACCCCCTCCAGGAAGCCCCCGCCTGAGCGAGGAGGGTATCGGGAAAATCTCATTACCTAATGTACATGGTTTCGTGCCCCTCCCACCCTTCCAGGGAGGCCCCGCCTGAGCGATGAGGGTATCCGAAAACCACACTATTTACATGGTTTCGTGCCCCTCCCGCACCTCCAGGGAGGCCCCGCCTGAGCGAGGAGGGTATCCGAAAACCATACTATTTACATGGTTTCGTGCCCCTCCCACCCCTCCAGGGAGGCCCCGCCTGAGCGAGGAGGGTATCGGAAAACCATACTATTTACATGGTTCCGTGCCCCTCCCACACCTCCAGGGAGGCCCCGCCTGAGCGAGGAGGGTATCGGAATACCATACTATTTACATGGTTTCGTGCCCCTCCCACCCCTCCAGGGAGGCCCCGCCTGAGCGAGGAGGGTATCGGAATACCATACTATTTACATGTTTTCGTGCCCCTCCCACCCCTCCAGGGAGGCCCCGCCTGAGCGAGCAGGGTATCGGAATACCATACTATTTACATGGTTTCGTGCCCCTCCCACCCCTCCAGGGAGGCCCCGCCTGAGCGAGGAGGGTATCGGAATACCATACTATTTACATGGTTTCGTGCCCCTCCCACCCCTCCAGGGAGGCCCTGCCTGAGCGAGGAGGGTATCGGAATACCATACTATTTACATGGTTTCGTGCCCCTCCCACACCTCCAGGGAGGCCCCGCCTGAGCGAGGAGGGTATCCGAAAACCATACTGTTTACATGGTTTCGTGCCCCTCCCACCCCTGCAGGGAGGCCCCGCCTGAGCGAGGAGGGTATCGGAAAACCATTCTATTTACATGGTTTCGTGCCCCTCCCACCCCACCCTGCAGGATGCCCCCGGCCCCGCCTTGAGCGAGGAGGGTAATCGTAAAACATAACTTTTTACATGGTTTCGTGCCCTCCCACACCTCCATGGAGGCCCCGGCGAGGAGAGTATCAGGCAATGGCCCAGCCTGAGCGGGAAGGGTATCGAACCATACTATTTACAAATGGTTTCGTGCCCCTCCCACCCCTCCAGTGAGGCCCCGCCTGAGCGAGGAGGGTATCGGAAAACCATACTCTTTACAAGGTTTCGTGCCCCTCCCACCCCTTCAGGGAGGCCCCGCCTGAGCGAGGAAACCACCAACGCCCAGAGGGCTGGTGGGATTGAGAGTCTGTGTGCCGGAGCTCCTTACATGTCTGCAAGGTCGCTGAGCCTAGTGCACACCAAGGGGTCCTCCAGGGCCTCGGCAAACCCTTTCAACATGAGCGGACAGGATGATGAGGAGGAGGAGGAGGGGGAGGAGGAAGAGGAGGGGGAAGAGGAGGAGGAGGAGGAGGAGGAGGAGGAGGAGGAGGAGGAGGAGGAGGAGGAGGAGGAGGAGGAGGAGAAGGGAGGATTGGGACCAGATAGAACCCATGATGCATCAGCGATACATTGTTTGGGAGATTATTGGCAGTCTTTTAAACCGCTCTTGGCCGATCAGTGTCTGCGTTCGAATTGTAGTTACCAGACACCTCGGCAAGTGCTTTCGTCTAGCGAACTCGTGTCGCCCACCCTCTTGTATAACCTCGACTGGACGAGGGAAATGAGACCACTCAGACCAACCTCACGAATCGGACCTCACGAGGAAAATGAGACCACTCAAACCAACCTCCCGCTGCTGCTCCTGCTGCGGTTCCTGCTGCTGCTCTTCGCCATCATCCATCTTATCCTCTTCCTCCTCCTCCTCCTCCTCCTCCTCCTCCTCCTCCTCCTCCTCTTCCTGGAGGGTATCGGAAAACATGCTGTTTACACGGCTTCGTGTCCCCCCTCCACTCCTCCAGAGAGGCCGCGCTTGAACGAGGAGGGTCGCGGAAAGCACTACTCTTCGCCAGGTTTCGTAGCCCTCCCCCCTTCCAGCGGGGCCCCGCCAAAGCGAGGAGGGCATCAAGAAAATGGGTCCCACGAACCGTTAATCTTTTTATGTGGGGAACTCCGTTAGCATAATTCGATTGCGCACGTTCTGTTGTTAGAAATATTTTGGTTTTGGGTTCATGTTGGCCAACATTCATCAAAGAGTGATCGTGTGCGTCGTGCGTGTGCATGTGTGTGCGCACACCGGAGCATCCCACGCTGTGTGAGCTGGGCTGGCCCGCGTGCTGCCGCCTGACTAAACCTACACCGCGCCGCTGCGCGCGTGGCCGCGGCGCCACGCAAACATGCGTGCACGCATATGTTGCTATGCCTGCGCACGCTGCGGCGGTGGCCGTCGCCGCGGTCGTCGCCGTCGCCTCCGCCGTTACCGTTTCTTCCGCCGCCGTCGTCGCCTGCGCCGCGACCCTCGCAGTCGCCGCCAGCGCCGCCATCGCGGTGGCCGTGGTCGCCGTCGTCGTTGTCGTCAACGTCTCCGCCGTCGTCGTCGTCGCCGTCGTTTGTCGCCGTCGCTGTTTGTCGCCGCCGCCGCCGGTGTCGTCGTCGCTGGTGTCGCCGTCGTCGTCCATCGCTGTTCGTCGTCATCGCGGGCTCCGCCGCAGGCTGCCCCGCGGAACGCGCGCCGCAGACGCCGGATTTTGGGCGGCAGGTCCCCGCGGAGGCCGGCCGCGAGCGGCCGCGCCGCGCCCCGTAGCGGTCCGCCAGCGGAACGCGCCGTCGCCGCCTGCGTCGTGGACCCAGGATGGCGACGCCGATGGCGCCATGGAGTTGTGCGAAGGTTGCAGCGCGACGGCCAATTGGGACCAGAGCTGGTGCTACGTGCAGGGCGGTTCCATCTGCAATGGACGGCGAGACGCGCAAGTGGCGCGAGTTCGGTTCCTGCAGCTGCATGATGGAGTGGAACTACGATGGCGATGCCGACGGCGTCATGGAGTCCTACGAGGGTTGCAGCGCCACGGCCGATTGGGACCAGAGCTGGCGCTACGCGCAGGGCGGTTCGAGTTGCAACCAGGCTCAGGACTCCAGCCTGGTCGGCGAGACGCGCGAGTCGCCCCAGACTTCGAGATGCACAGGCAGCGTCGGGGAGGGGGCGACAGGTATAGGGTGGAGGCATCGACTCCCGATTGCCCATTTGTCGCCGAGCGGGGGCCGATGGCCTACCTCGCCCAGGGCCGTGCCACTTCGCTGCCCAGGGGCCTGTCGCCGATCTGTCGGCGAGCGACGGCCGATGCCAGCTCGGGGCGTCCCCCCGCGGAGCTGGTCCCCATCTGACGTTGTGCCCCTCGGGCCTCCCTGCCCCAGAACTTCGAGAGTCAGAGGCTGCGTCGGGAGAAGATGGCTCAGGGGGAGGAGGATGGGGAGGAGGAGGAGGAGGAGGAGGAGGACCAGTGCAAACCCACGATTCATCAACGATGTTGGAATAACCCCCCCTTCCAAGCTCCCTTTTCACAGGCACCTGCAACGGTGCACTTCCATTGGGGCAACAGCCTCGTCGGAAGACAACCGTTTGAAGACCCTGAAGCATGCCAAAACATTGCTCTCGGGATTCCAACGCCACGGATCAACCTGACTGTTGCGTGCTGACGATCGACGCAGCGAATCAACTGAACTGTTGAGCCCGTGCAATCCTGAATCTCTTCGGAACACCATTTCTAGTACGTTGATGATGGGAGCCCGTGAAACTCTTACCTATACGACCACCCTTCGGGTGATAAGGAGGTCAGGGGGGGGAGGGACCAACGTCGCACTCGATCGATATCACTCTCGATATCACTATCGATGTCACTATCGATCTCACATTCGGTCTCACTATCGATCTCACTATCGATCTCCCATTCGGTCTCACTATCGATTTCCCTATCGATCTCACATTCGGTCTCACTATCGATCTCACTATCGATATCACTATCGATCTCACAATCGATCTCACATTCGGTCTCACTATCGATCTCATTATCGATATCACAATCGATCTCACAATCGATCTCACAATCGGTCTCACTATCGATTTCACTATCGATCTCACATTCGGTCTCACTATCGATCTCGCTATCGATATCACTATCGATCTCACCATCGATCTCACATTCGGTCTCACTATCGATCTCACTATCGATCTCACTATCGATCTCACTATCGATCTCACATTCGGTCTCACTATCGATCTCATTATCGATATCACAATCGATCTCACAATCGATCTCACTATCGATCTCACAATCGATCTCACAATCAATCTCACTTTCGGTCTCACTATCGATTTCACTATCTTTATCACAATCGATCTCACAATCGATCTCACATTCGGTCACACTATCGATATCACATTCGGTCTCTCTATCGATATGATCATCTCCATCATCATCATCAGCACCATCATCATCATCATCATCATCATCATCATCAACATCATCATCATCGGGACACCGGCGGGACACCGGCGGGACACCGGCGGGACACCGCGCGCCACCGGCCGCCCGGTGGAGAATCAGTTGGTCCGGCCGCGCCTCAGCCACAGAGGACACCACCGGGACACCGGCGGGACACCGCGCGCCACCGGCCGCCCGGTGGAGAATCATTTGGTCCGGCCGCGCCTCAGCCACAGGAGACTTTCCTCTCGCCCGCCCACGCAGCTTCGCCTCGCCCGCACGCACGGCACGCACGAACACGAAACCGAAATCGATTTCCCGGTAGGGGGGCTCTCCGTTCCACTTCGATCTCACCCCCTCACCTCCGATAATTTGTTTGAGGGAATGTGCGCGGCGCTAAGGTGAGAGCCACATTTTTAGAAAGGAGCCGCCCTCAATCCGCGAAACTCTTGCAAACTTTAAAACGAGTGTGCGCCGCGCTCAGGCGGGAGCCACATTTTGAAAACGACCCACCCTCAATCCGTGCAGCTCTTGCACATGTTTAAGACGAATGTGCTCCGAGCTAAGGCGAGAACCAAAGTTTCCACTGTTTGAAAACCACCCGCCCTCAATCCGTGAAAGTCGTACATATTAGTGAAGCGAATGCTCGCCGCGCTAAGGCGAGAGCCACATTTTGAACACCACCCGCCCTTAATCCGTTAAGTCCTTGCAACTTTTTACAACATAGAGTGGTCGCCGCGCTAAGGCGAGAGCCACAGTTTGAAAACTACCCGCCTTCAATCCGTAAAACTCTTGCACATGTTTAAAACGAATGTGCGCCGCGTTAAGGCGAGAGCCACATTTTGAAAACCACCAGCCCTCCATCTGTGAAGCTGTTGCCAATTTTTAAGCTTCAGGGTCATACATGGTGAGGAAGTCTTGGGCGAAGCGCCCGGCACGCCCTAACACTTGGCCTCGGGGTGCGACAGGGAGGAGATATCCATAAGGAAAAAGAACGGGGGACGAGGCTGATGATGATGATGATGATGATGATGATGATGATGGTGATGATGATGATGATGATGATGAAGATGATGATGATGATGATGATGATGATGATGATGATGAGATGATATGATGATGATGATGATGATATGATGATGCTGATGCTGATGATGATGATGATGAGGATGGAGGAGAGGAGGAGGAGGAGGATGAGGAGGAGGAAGACGAGGAGCGATATGGCCCAGAGGAGGAGGAGGAGGAGGAGGAGGAGGAGGAGGAGGAGGGGGAGGATGAGCAGGAGCAGGAGCAGGAGGAGGAGGAGGAGGAGGAGGAGGAGGAGGAGGAGGAGGAGGAGGAGGAGGAGGAGGAGGGGGGGGAGTCAGAAGGAGCGTCAAGAGGGGATGTCTCAGGGGGTCGGGGGCGTCCGGGAGGTGGTTGCAAGGGGGGCTGGGATGTCATGGCAGGGGCTATGACACCTCCCCTGATTCCATGGCCCCTTTCCTTCTTTCAACACGGCTCCTTGTCCTCTCTCGCCCGCGCACGTGCTTGAGCACCCCCCTCTTGGACGCTCCCCTCCTTGGACGTCCCCGAGTGGGGGAAGCATCCACCCCCAATCGCCCAGTCATCGCTGATCAGCCTGGCGCCGATCCATCGGCGATTCCAGGTCGATGTCCCCCTCGCCTTCAGCCAGGCCCCGCCTTGTCGACCCCCCTCGCCTCAGACCTTTGGCGAATGATAGTTTTTTGGGGGAGGGGCGGGGGCTGGAGGGCTGGGGTGAAGTCGGGTAGTCAAAAAAGAGCCCAGTGACCACACAGACATAGAAATTTGGGCCCTCCGCGCGGATCTCTTGGATCCCTGCCTCGGCCCCCCTGCGGCGCCTCCGGCGCCGCCCCTGGCGCGCTCCGCGCGCCAGGGAGGGGGGTCCTGCGCGAATCCAAGAAACCCGCGCGGAGCCCCAAAAGTTAATGCTTCTGTGTTCTTTTCTTTTATTCGAGAAGCCCTGGTTGGCTTCGGGGAAGGCTCGGCAAGCTTCTCGGAAGGCCAGAAGCCTTCTGAGCCTGCCGAAAAGGCCCGCCCCACCTGCCTTTCCCTTACGTCGGGCCTGTCCCTCTACAGGAGGAATCTTCGAAATAGGCCAAAAATAGTAGGGGGACGACTTTTCGACTAATTTTGAATATGATTGAATCTGTTTTGACTATTTTTTCTGTTTCGTCCAAAATCCTCCTGTAGGGGGACATGCCCAACCTAAGCCTTCCCCCTGGGCGCGTCGCCGCTGTCCATTCAGGACCGGCCTCGCTGTGGGCGTCGCCGCGGACGCTGTCGTCTGTGGACACGAGGTCGCCTGCCCAGCAGTCGGCGCTGTCGATCTGGGGCAGCATCTGCCGCTCGTCAGCGTGCCCATTCCTGCCCCTGCCCGTTCTGGTGCTGCAGGACAAGCCCAGACAGGTCACGGTCCAACGTTCGGCGACGAGCGAGGGGGGAAGTCGGAAGGAGAAGGCCTTCTCCGACGGCCGCGGGGCTTCTCAGAAGCCCTCCGGCCTTCTGAGAAGGGCCGCCCCTTCTCTGAGGCGGTCGCAAATATGGATCAAGGTGGCGTGGATCAGCGACAGGTCCTGTTTCCAGCAGAAATCGCGGATCTCCGCCGCCGAGCGAGGCGCCACCGGCGGCACTTTGGGGAGGGCACCTCCCCCGATCCGTGGATCTGGCGACCGCGCGCCAAATCCATGCATCGGGGGAGGGTCGTCAGTTTTTGGCGCCTCGGCAGGCGGTGGACATGGGCACACCCGGGGCCCTCGGGGGCCGAGACACGTCCACACCCGCCGCCCGCTGGGGCACCAGGACGTGGGGCTCCCAGGCGGCGGGACGCGGAGACCTCCTCGCTCTTCCCCCAGGAGGAGGAGGAGGAGGAGGGAGAGGAGGAGGAAGGGATGAGGAGGAGGGAGGAGGAGGGGGCCTTCGATGAGAGATAGTAGGAGGGCCACGAAAGCGGCGGGCGCGGCGAGGGCGCCGCGGCGGGGGGCGGCGCTCGGCGCCCCTCGGCGGCGGGGCGGGGCCCGCCCCTGCCGCGCGGAGGCGGCGCGGGGCGGGGCGCCGGCGGCAGGGCAGCGGGGCCCCGAGAGGCAGGCGATGGCAGGCATGGGCTCAAGGGGGGCGCGGATCGGCGACGGGGCCCGCGCCCACGGGGGATGTCGCGGACTCCTCCTCCTCCTCCTCCTCCCTCCTAATCCTCTTCCTCCTCCTTTCACCCTTTTCCTTCCTCCTCCTCCTCGTCCTCCTCCTCCTCCTCCTCCTCCTCCTCCTCCTCCTCCCACGGCGAATCGCGGACTCCTGCCGCCGCGGAGCTACAGGCGGCGCGGGCCGCACTTTGGGGAGGGCACCGCCCCCGATCCACGGATTTGGCGGCCTGCGCGCCCGATCCATGGATCGCTGGCCCATGTTTGCGCGCCCCCGGAGGACACGGGGGGTCGAAGCAGACGGGGGTCAGCCAGAGCGCAGGACCCTGCAGGATCCTGCAGAGCTTCGGGCGGGTTGCCACCGGGGGGTGGTCCAGCTGGGGGGTGAAGGAAAGGGCCGGCCCCTTTTGGAGCCAGTTGGTGCCCAGATGGGGCCCTGAAGGGCCCATTCAGGGCCTCTGCTTCACCCCCCAGTTGGGCCACCCCCCGTTAATTACCAACCGCCCGAGAGCCATGGGTGCACTGGTCTTGCAAAGCCTGGCTGGCCCTGGTTTGGATCGACCCGGGTTGCAGTCGGCTCGTATCATAAGGATGCGCGACAAGGATGTAAGGGTCTTGGACCTTCATGTCGAAGCTTCTCGAGCGAGGCGCGGCAGACGAATGTGGCCAAGGATAGACCGAAGGGGCAAGGACGCAAGCGTAGCCGTGGGGAAGTTGCCCATCCTAACCATGCGGGTTGACTGTAGTGGATCCCCGACAGGCGGGGACTCGGAGCTGGGCATGCTGCCCGAGAGGCCGGTGCTTAGGGGAACGAACAATGACATAAAACATAACAACTTGGAGGTCCGCGCGGATTTCTCGGATTCGCGCTGGACCCCCTGGCGGCGCCTCCGGCGCCGCCCCTGGCGCGCTCCACGCGCCAGGGAGGGGGGTCCAGCGCCGCTACGAGAAAGCCGCGCGGACCTCCGAGCTTTGATGCTGATGTGCCATCCTTCCTTCCCCTGGCGCTGGCGCCCGACGGTGCCGAGGACGTGGCCTCGGAGTGTGCGGAGGCAGGGCGCGGCGCTCGGCGCCCGAGAGCACGGGGGCCGTGGCGTCCGTCGCCCGCCTGCCCCGGCCGCGCCAGCCTGGGCCTCTGGCCACGGGGCGTCGCGGGCGGCTTCTTGCC